CAACCCTTCGGCCCTCGAGAGAGAGAGAGAGAGAGAGTGAGGGAGACAGCCAATTAGTGACATCATGACTTTACGGCCAACACGGCGTTCAATAGGCCGTGCCCAACTCTTTTGACATCATTCATGTCCACTTGTTGCCCAACTGCCGCTTTCATTTCCAACTGCATCCGAGGGCTTGAGCGACGACTTGCTCATTACGAATGCTGCAGCTCGGCAAAAAGATCAGAACATGTTCCTCCAGCCCCGACGACCTTCCTTCCTCTCGCTACCAGTCGGCTGCAGAACGGGAAAGATGAGCAGCGGATCTCAAATTCAGCTCACGCCGGTGGAACAGTGATGCCTTAATGTCGCGCAAAGACGGCGGGCGGAACGCATTGTCGTCAAGCGGGGAGAAAAAAAAACAAAAACAAAACAATGCCCGGGTGCACGTTTGACAAGGGAGGGCAACCGAGGCAGCGCGTCTGATCTAATGAAGTCGTTGATGGGCGCTTTGTCTGACAAACGATGGCGGCGGCTCAGCGCCAGCCTGAACAATGTCGTGGCTTTTAGTTCCTCAAAGGAACGCCGCGGATCTCGCAAATGTCAACATGGAAGCGCATTAAAAGGTTACACGCCGTCACGCGCGTGCGCACTTGGCAGGTGCGCGAGGTGCAAGAACGTGCGCGCACACACACACACACACACACACACACACACACACGCACACACATGCCCCTCACCTGGAAAATGCGGCAAAACAAACAGCATACTCACTCTGACCTCCGCTAAAGACCGACCAAAACGAAATGCTATTTGCCGGAAATAGCTACGGAGCCCTGAGAAACATTTGAAAGTATTCCAGTGTGTGCACATGCGTGTGCGGTTGGGTGGCATATGACGCACAGCCATTCAGTTGATAGCATGGGGGGGGAAATGTTATTGAAATGTATTTTTTCTTTCTCTTTCGTTCAGTCATGGCTGTTTGTTTAAAGTACAATATTATTGGACTGCTATTTTTCCCTCATTTGAAGGACACATTAACATAAACACTTTTGGTTGTGTTTTTTTTTTAAGCAGGCTTGGAACAGATTGACGCCATTGACAGTCCACATTCATTTCAAAAGATTTTGCCACATGAGTATTTGGAACGCATTCAAAGTCATTCATCATGTTTGTGTTGGCATACAAACAAATGCAATCAAAAAAACGATTTTACTTTGGAAGGTGAAAAACGCCGCTCGGCACTCACGCGACAAATGGCAACCTCGCATGGGCCTCGCCGGTGTGCCGCGCGCGCGCTTCGCAGCTCGCATGACTTTTGTTCTGTCAGACGTGGCAGCAGAAGCACCACTCAACATTTCTGTGGGTAATTCAGCCCCCATTAAAATGCATCCCCCCCCCCCCCGCACCCCCGGCCTTGGACAAAAGCGATATCGTTAAATACGCCAACATTTCTGCATGCGGCACTCACCACTGGATGTGATGCATTATTTGTGTTTGCGTTCATACGGCAAAAGTGGGAGGTAGGAGGCAACAGCTGCTTCGCCATTAATGTTGCATCGAGCGCCACGCTGCCGACGATGTAATTACGGCTTTCCAAGTGTGCGGCGGATTCAGAACTAAACTCCAGGCTGAATCGGGGGCCTGCCGTCCCTCCACATCATTGCAACCCCCCCCCCCCCTCGAGCCCCCTCGCCTGAAGATGCATATCCGGGCCGAGGAAGATGAGCTGCTCGGGCCATTTAGTCAGAGCTCAGGACGCAAGCCAGTGAATTACAGCACCTGTGTGTGTGTGTGTGTGTGTGTGTGTGTGTGTGTGTGTGTGTGTGTGTGTG